CCTTTGGCAAATTAAACATGGGTATTATAAAAAATTGTAGTTTGTTTCTTTCTTAATTTTTATAAATTATTTACTAGTCAATCTCTTTATTTGATATAGCCAAAATAACTCAGAATCCTTTTTATTTCCCATTCTTTTGAGGTTAATGCTGGTTTTGCATTCATAAATTTGTAATCTATTTTCTTAATCAAACAACTGTGGGAAATAAGAAATAAATAAGATCACATAGGAGGTAAATAATGAGTAGATTTACAAAATGCAACAGCAGTTTTCATTAGTTTATTTTGTTTTCTGGGCCTAACATCTAAGAAGGTGATATGACAAGAAGGCTTGCAATGGTTTCACCTGATGTTTGTTTGAGTTTTCTCAAGTACTAGGGTTCTTGTTTCCCAACTACTAAAAACCTTTCTAGCCATTGTTCAATGGGTCTTAAACCAAGCATGCGTTTCTTTACACTGGTCTCCTACTAAAATGTGGCTGATTGGGACATGCAGTTGTGGCAGTCATGCCATTCTTTGCCACCACCCACCTGGCTTTGGCTACCCTAAGAGCTTATTAACCAAAATTAATCATTAGATATTAGAGTGTGCCTTAGACACACGTAGATAAATCTTTGAGGACATGTTGTCAGGTGTTTGGGATGGTGAAATATAAGAAAGGCAGAATAGGCTATGTGTCTTTAAAACATGCAGATAAAACAGTAAATTATCTAGAAGAAAGGACACAGGACTTCTTTAGAGAACAAAATAATAGATAAAGAGACAGTTTTTGTACAGGACAGACACAAAAAGTGCTAGAAAAATTTAAACTTCAGAAACTTTAAAAAGTATATATATAGTATGACAATTTTTCTGAACCTCCCTAAAGGAGAATAATCCTTGTGAAAACCAAGACTCTCTCTATGTGATCCTTTTCAAAATTTGTTAAAATGAAAGACAAACTGTGCATGAGTATGAATTACAATGTATCTGTGGAACTGTGATCTCTGCTCCAACTCATTTAAGAAGAACTTCTATCTTGATACCAAATTGACCTCAATCACTACAAGTGGCTTATTCAAGTTTGCTCTACTTTTGTCATCTATCCTACAGATATAATGCAGATTTAATGAGGAAATACTGCCATGTTTATTCTCAGTGGCTAGTCACAAAATAAAAATCAAAGCCATCTTTTCCACATTTACCTTAGAGCTTATTCCATTAACTTTTGAAAATAAGTTCTTATCAATCATGCTATGGTATTTGATTGCCAAGAACCTTTAAATATGTAAGAAATTCCATCGACATTCATATAATTAAAAAAGAACCAATTCATATGCTTTTAAGGGCGTTTATGAATCTGAATAGGAAGAGTCCCATCAGTGAGAATTAGGATAGCTAGAATGAACAATACAAAAAGACTGCTTTAATTTAAAATTATGCCCAGTTAGGATGGAGAAGTAAGAGTGGAACACTCAAAACAACAGAGAGAATGTGACATAACAACTGGACAGATAGGGATAAAGCAAAAGACAATATCCTTCGAAGGATGTACATTAAGACAGGGTCAGAAGCCTTAGTGTGTGTGTCTTTCTCCATTTTCCCACCCCTCTGGCAGGAACGTTTTCTCAGGTAGACTGTACCATGTTGCTCCAAACTTCTAAGGGACTTTATAGTCTCAATTACTCTTGACTTTTCAATGTATTAACACCTTCCACTCAACTAATAATTTCATTGATAATTAAACATGCTCAAATCTCTTTAATCTTACTGTTTACCCCCTCTTGACTCCTCCCCTCCTTCTACTTACCATCTTACCTCTTTTTACACCTTCCCAATAAAAGTTTTTGAAAGAGTTGTCTATACTTGTTATCTCAATTTTCTCCAATCTCGCTTCTTACTCTATCCCCGTATGATGAAGTCTTCAGTTTATTGGGCCATGTGGATAGTCCAAGGGACTATCAGAGCATTTGATAAACCTTCCCATTGCCCTTCCTGACACCCTCTCCTTTTGTTTGCCTCCTACTGCTTTGGTCATTCCTTCTCAGATTGTTTTATAGCTCCACCTTCCTTTACACAGTCATTAAATGTTAAATCCACAAGACTCAGTACCAGGCAATTTTTCTACTCACTTTATACTCTCATTCATACCATGGTTTCAATTATTATCTGTGCATTGATGACTTATAAAATTATATTTCCTCTCCTGTGAGCTCTACATATATTCAACTTGCAAACTCTACTTGATATTTCAAAGGCACCTTAATCTCATCATGCTCAAGCCTGAACCCACCATCTTCTCCATTAAACCTTCTTGCATTGTTTACTATCTCAATGGATATTAAAATCTTCTATGTAGTTGCACAACAGAAACTGCGGCCAAATATATCAATGATGTATTATAAAAATGAACACTTGAAACCTATATAATTTTACTAGCCAATGTCACCCCAATAAATCTAATTTAAAAAAAAGATCAAAAAGAAAAAAAAAAGAAATCCCAATCTGTAGCAGAAAGTGTTCTACACATTGTGGTATTTGGTTTGAAGATACATTGATGTGAGTTTGAACATACATTAAACAATTAAACAAGACAGAAGTAACAGAAAAGGAAGTAAGGCATAAAAATTAAGACATATTGAGAGTGTTTAGCAAATGAGCTCTCAAAAATTCTAAAGTTAATTTTAATTAATTAATTTTAATTTACCATATAAATTTAAATAATTTATATTATTGTATGAATTTAAATGATTTATATAACATGTAATATACAATATGTAATATAGTCCTAGAGTCAGCCTTTCATCACCTTGAAGTCTTGTAGGATGTTGCCTCTAAGACATAGCAGATTGTCATTTTTGCATCAGTATAGATAACTCTTTGTAAATTTCTGAACTTTAGATAAAATTAACTGAAAGACTTGGTAAGTCCTTAGTTTTCACTTTTACTAGAAATGGCAATATTTTTCACAGGATGCTTTCAAGTTCAGGCGACCTAAGTATCTGAGTGGTTTACTTGAGGACTGCACAATTAGGTCATCATTACTTAAAGGCAAAAAATAAAATAATTTCTTTAAGAAAGTTTGGCCAAAAATAGAAATTATGTCATATGCAATCAAATGTGCCAGTTTTTTGCATAAAATTATTACAGTAATAAAAATGATGGCATTTTGGTAGAAATCACTTTTAAATTGCTTTCTAAGTTATTCAACTTCTCATCTGGTTTTGGGGGGGATCAACTACTAATCTTTGTAAGAGAGACTATTGAAATTGGAGTTAAGTCCATCATTCTGAAAGTTTGTTTTGTCTGTACAGAATTCAGTGTTCCAAAATGGTATGCCTAATTTATGAATAATTTCAATACCTTAGGGTAATTTCATTGCCTTCTTGTCATAACCAACTGAATTGCCCAGCCTAGATACCTTCATTTTTCATTCATTCAGACATTTACTGAGCAACTTTTCATCTAGTGCTCAGGCTAAGTGCATTAAAAATGAATAAGATGCTGTCCCTGCCTGTAAGGAATTTCTATTTTCAGATTGGTGTCAACTTTCTGGATTTTATTTTCAGATTGATACAGACCCTGGAAATGTTTATTTGATTTATACAACCTTAATATGCTAGCCAAGATTTTTGCTAATCTGACTAAGTTATCCAATTGTCATATAACACATGCACTGAGACACAAAATGTTATTTTAAACTGACATAGAGTAACTTTAGAGACCATTATCACTAGAATGCTATACTAATGAAGAATTTTAGATTCTTGGCTGTTATGTAAAAATTTCGTTCAGTAATGTCCTTGGGATGTGACCATTACATTCAGGCATTTCTCTCTTCTGATATTTCCTAATTTTGAAGCATGAACTAATTTCAAGACAGCTTTCCAAAAATGTATATGTTCCAAAAAGACATTTCCATTTAATATTCAATTTTTTCTACTGGATTTCCTTTTTCTGTGCAAAGTCAATGGCTTTCCTCTGCTGTCTCCAATTCTTAACAGCTATACTCCTTTCACTCAATAGATGTTTCGGTCTTTATTTTTTCTATCTGACTTATTTTGCTTAACAGTCAAGAATGATGTGACTTTACTGATATGTGGGATATAAAACTGAAAGCAACAACGGAACAAAACAAACAAAGAAACAAAAACTTATAGAGACAGACAACTGTTTAGTGGTTACTAGAGGGTAAGAGGGGTGAGGGTATGGTAGAAGAAGAAAAAGGGAGTCAAAGATATGGTGGCGGAAGATTTGACTTTGGATGGTGGACATTGAATGCGATATATAGAAGATGTATTATAGAAATGTACACTCGAAATCTATATAATTTTACTAACAAGTGTCACCCCAATAAATTTAATAAATAAAAAAAAGATGTTTGTTTAAACAGTTGAACAATTTCTTAACTTCAAAGGAACAACCTGACTATTTATTTGCTCTATGATATTTTCAAGAAATTGATACAATCAAATTACACCTTACTTTAGTTTGTAGTTTACTTCACTACATTGCAGGACATTTTGTCCTGTCTAAAACATCCATATTTGGTCCAGGCCAAATGGTCCTTGGTTCAAATAGCCCATAATGTTTATTTATACTTTTGATTTACAGGACTAATACAAAAAAAATTATGTTTCATTGGTCCAATAATTGTGTTTTGGCTGTACTGCCAATAATAACCCTTCTTGCCTTAATAAAATATCTGTTAATGGCACATGGGGTTAGGTACCTGGGTTGGGGCTGGAGTCTTGTAGAAAAGTGGAATTTATAAGGCCTATGCACCTTTTGGACAAGAACGACTTTCAAGCACTTTTGGCACGGGCGAAATGTCTCTGTGGACATTTTAGATAGCATCAAATGTCCACTAATCCTCCACCAAACTGAAAAAAGTGATTGGCAAAACAATTTTCAGATGGACATTTTTGTCTTTCTGTATTTGGGTGACTATTACACATATAGATAACATTTAAAAAATAAGACCCAGCACTATAGTTTTAAGAAGTACTGTGGAATACTTACCGTATGGTGAGAGGGATGAATGCATTTGTATTAATGCTATAATTAGCAGAAAGAGTCAAGCTGTTTTGAGAGCTTCCACATCCATATTTAACTGTGGGTCTTCCTTCCACAAGAAATAAATGGAGAAACGGTTGTCCAAAATTCTTCTCACTACCTTCAGGAATAAAATTACATTACATTAGTGATTAATATAGATTTATTTTATTCAATAACAATCATTCATTGAACAGGCTCATTTTTTGCCCTCAAGGAGTTACGATTTGGTGATATGGGAGGAGTGCTATTAGATAATTATTCACTGCAACAAGTACTATATTAGAAATGTACATTACTTTTCACAGATTGAATATAGCAAGGCATTAACAGCATTAAATTGACATGAGGTTAACTACTGACTCAATTTAACTATTTTGAGCCTCAGTTTCCTCATACATTATGATGGGATCATGAAAACAACTAATTATTAGAACTACAAGGATAATCAAATAAAAAATAAATTAAAAGGAACCGGGATCCAATTAGGTTTTGATTAATTGAATTATTATTTTTTAATTCCTAATATTTTAATTTAATACAACCTTTTTTAAAAATCAAAATGATGTAGATATATAAAGAAAAAAAAGAAACATTCCCCCTTTCTCTAGACTGCTTTTCATCCCGGTTGGATGTATTGTTTTCTATCACTTACCTATTCACATACAAATATTTATATAGCCCTGATTTTATTTTTAAAATTAATAAAATGTAATAAATAGGGTTATTCATCTTTCTCTTTGACTTAATGATAAATTCTAGATATCTGTCCATGTAAGTACATATGAGCACATGTGCATAAGTGTATGTATGTATATATATTAATATATATGTAAATATATAATATATATAAACATATACATATATGTATATATATGTGTGTGTGTATATAACACATATATGTGTGTATATATATATGTGTTTTATATATATATGTATATATAAAACACACATACATATATGCCATAATATTCCAACATTATGCCCAATAATATTGCAATTTGTACTACCTTTGGACAGGACTTAAAAGCTCTAGAAAGCTCATTATTAAGCCCTTGAAGGAAAGTTCATTCTGTTGTTTCACTAAAAAGATGCTTGAAGATCCATTAGTGAAGACATATGAAGTTGGCCTCTTTTGAGATAATTCTTTATGATTTTAGGCTGTGTAGTAATTTTTTGGATATTTCTAAATATTTATCCAGAAAATATTTTGAAACTCTATAAAATTTGTAATTCTCAAAATTTATTTTATCCTAGTGAAGTCATTGATTGTACCGTATTTCCCCAAGTATAAGACACACCCTTTTTTGAAAATTTTGGGGTCTAAAAACTGGGTGCGTCTTATATGGTGGCTGTAGATTTTACTTGCATTTCCCACTGAGGACGAGGCAATATATGAAGACAGTGATTCGTCATCAGACACAGATGAGGACAAGCTAATGGCTGGGAGTTTTGATAGTGATGAGTTGTATGAATTTTACGATGAATAAAACTTGAGTTCAATAACTTTATGTAATACATTTTTTTTTCAAATTTTGGGCCCCAAAATTAAGGTGCATCTTAGATATACATGCGAGTGACTTATACATGGAGAAATATAGTATATACTGATTTAGATTTATTAGATCCAAAACAATATTTTTTAGAAGAATAAACTGTAATCATTACTTGCAAGACAATGGACTCTAGTTTCTAGATATCATAGCCTTTTCGAGAGATAATCTTAACACTTTTGAGTCTAAAATTTATATATATAGCATATATTTATATAGTATATAGATATTATATATATATATACTTAGTCTCATAAGAAACAAATAATAATGAAATAATGTAGAGAGAAGGAAAGAATGATATATCAGTCAACTTTTGAAAGATTTGGTTTGCTCGAATATTGTATTGGGTTGTAGATCTGAAATTTTCTAAGCAGTTTTCTTCATCACTTCATTGACATATTGAAGATACAGTATTTATGGTTTATATGGTTATATTGTTTACTGTTTCCATTAAAAATGGGTAGTTTTCTAAATTTGAACTATTGTAATGAGTGGTCCCAAACATCAATTACAGTTTGATTTGAGATCATGTATAAACAAACATTCAGAAGAGATTCATTGGTCATCAGTTTGGGTTAAAATAAAATTCATTATTCCTTATAGAACTGATAGTGATTAATATACATATTATGCTTATTAAATTAGGTATGTAGTCAAATTTGTAAATTTTCATAAAGCAAAATGGATTTCTACCACCTTTCATAAAAGAAATCTTGATGATAAAATTACATTTGCATTATTTATAATCAAACTAAAATATAGTAAGATTAATTGGTTTACCCTAAGTTATACAGTTAGCTCACACTGACTTCAGTTCAAATTCTTTTTTTTGGGGGGGGTGGTTATCTCCACTTTATTTTTTAAATTAAATTTTTAACTTATTTTTCAGTTACAGTTGACATACAATATTATATTAGTTTCAGGGACTTCAGTTCAAATTTACCCTTGGTCACCTACTACCATTTTGATCAGGATTGCCAACAGCAGCAGTTGGATGATCTCTCCAGCCTTGGTGCCAGCTTTGCGGTATGTGATAAAGACTGTTCTCTGATAAGACAAGAGCCTATCTGATACCCTACAAATCTTTATAACATGATTGATTATTCCCTGAGACCACTGCACTGTACCCGTGAAGCTAAAGCTGAATAATACTGAATGTCAACTATAACTATATATATAACTATATATATA